AATTCCTCAAGGTTCTGGATCTTGGTCGCCAGCAGGGCCTTGGTCACGACAGGGTCCAACGAGAAATTCATCCCTAAAGACTCCATGGTTTCCTGAATGGTGGTACTCTCCACCGGAACCAGACGAGTACTAGTCATTTCACTCAAGGTAACTCCTTGTATGACTTGAACATTCAACACTGCTCACCCCATACATGCCTCCCGCATGCTGCTCATCACCTGCCATCCAAAGACAGAAGGAGGCGACGTGGGGGGGGCTGGACAAGAACTCCCCTGTTCCTCAGGGGTAAGATAGACTGCTACCTTAGCTCATTCCCTCGGCTCATGTATCCACAGCTTGTACTCACAGGATCCTGTGTAAGCTCCCTCATGAGGACCGACGAGACTAGTTAACACAGTCTGTCCCCAAATTAAGCCCTATACTCATGCCAATGCTGCTTGAACTCACAGTTCCCTGTGTAAGCAACTCTGAAAACATGCAAGGGCTCCTAACGGAGTCTACCCAAACCTCATCCTCCCGGATGTCGATGTAGACTCTTTTCCACACTCAAATCAAAGCTCATCTGACTGCATGATGCAAGTTGGCCTACGGGCAAGCTATGGACCTCAGTGATCAGCCTACCAAAATCGGCCCTGTGCGTCTCTTATTCAAATTGAATTCAGGTGCGTCCCCACTGACATGGTCAGCGTGGGTGCCAGCTCGCTGCTGCGCGCGCCAAACAACTGTCACAAAATGCGCGGCCCCATGCCATGGCCTCCCTCATATCCTGCGTAGTCATCGGTTTTACCAAGTGGATTGCACGCTCGGCAGATTGCTTGTGTGAGCAGAGGGTCTGGCCATTGTTGAGCTCCAAGTGGACCTTCGACCGCTGAGTTGCGATATAGCCACATGGCTCCGGGAATGGGTTCCGGAGAGAGCTAGCCCTGAGAGTCGTGTCAACCCACGACCTCATCCCAGCCTCATGGATGATCCCCGGAATGTCCAGGGAGCGCCTGCAGCTTTTGACATAAGCCACGGCAACGTCCCAGCTCTCCTGCGCAAGTAGGGCCCTGAAGACGCAGCCTCCAACACCAGCTCGGTGACGTCCTCATAGGCAATGGATCAGTGCTGATTCTCCTGCATACATCGTATTGCGCAGCAGGGGCCAGACTTCCTCAAAGTCCCTGTTCCTGGAATTGCCATGCGCCACACAAAGGTGCTTCAGGAGGGCATCCGTCAGCACTACTCCTCCTCGGGAGGATGGGGTCTCAGCCATGCATGCAATCTGAAGGGTAACTCCCTTCGGAAAGCGATGCGCAGTATTCTTGGTAGGAATCCCACTCAGCCACAGCTTGCCCCCTGCTCTGTTCTGGTAAATCAGGCTTGGGCTCTCTGCAGTCTTGCCGTGGACAGTAGCCAGCCTGTCAAACTTCCTGTCAGGCCCCCGGGTGTCCAGTACCTCTGGAATCGGGAGGTCTTCCTCCTCCACTTCAATCTCTTCATCCTCAGAGCTCGAAACCAGGGCTGGAAGAGGAGCTGCAGGTGTAGCTGGAGCTGCCTTCGCCTTTTTCTCAGGCGGTGCTTTAGGCGGTTGGCCCTGTGGCGCCTCGCTGGCGCCTTGGGTGGGGTGGCTGGTTCAGGAGGTCGCTCCTCCTTGGACTTGCTGGTAGGCTTAGCCTTCGCAGAGCCCGAACCAGTCCCTTCGTCCGGCATTTCTTCCACCTTGATGAACTTCTTGTCATGGCATTCGCATGCTGGATGTCCTCCTCCACAGACGCGTCCAGATTTGCGCATCACGGCACATGCATGCCTACCCGGGCATGATTCCTTCTCTAACGGGCAGGACGTCGTTTGATATGCCCCACAAATAGGCGCCCCGTTCTTCATGAAGGCACTCAGCACCTTCCCATTGAGGGGAGCTGGCATAGCCGTCAGCCCACCTTTGGCTTGGGCTTCCTCCCTCTTGGCAGCTGCTTTGAGCTTGAGGGCTTCTGACAACTGAAAACGAGCTTGTAACTCATCCTTAGTCAAAGGGGCTGCCCAGATGACACGGGACTCCTGCTTCAGGACCTTGTCGACTTGCTGGCGCGCATAGTCAAGGGCCTCCGCAAAGCTCTGTTCCGGAATCGTCTCCCAAGACTCGTAAGCCAACAACTTCTCCATGGCCAGCCTGATGATGTGCTTGGTCCGAAGCGAGTGTTCATACCTGGCTGCACTGTAGTGCATAGGCATCGTCGCTTCTTTGGGGATCTGGCTCCGATCGGCCCAGTCGCCAAGCGAACATAACTCCAGGGGCGTCAGCTTCATCAGTGATCCCACTGTGGGGCCAGCTCGCCTCCAAGAGTAAGACGACAGATCGTCTGTGTTCTGGACCAAGTGCTCGAAAACCTCGCGGTTCAAGTCGTTGACATACTTCAAGGTGAATGCGGTACCCTCCGCATCGAAACAGAGGCCTGAGGTGGCCTGCTTGGTCTTGGTCAGCTTGCTATAGTCCCGAAATAGGGCGGCTCCCCAAGCCCATCCATTCACGAATGTTGCGGGGATACAGAAGGAGAATCCACCCCGATTAGCCCGCTGCTTGCCCTTCGGGCAAAACCCATGGAACGAAGATGGTGTCACCTTCACCGGCCTGGCCCTCATAATATGCTTATAACACGACACCAAAGGTTACCAGCCATGATGAAAGCAACCCTCGCCAACGTGGGTCCTCTGCCTCGTACATGGCCTGTATACGCTCTTCCAGGGCAGCAATCATCGGCGGTTCAACTGCGACTGCCTGCTCAGGATTTGCCTTCTTGGGTGGATTCTTCCTTGAGGGCACTGGTACATCACTGAAGTCCCACTACAAGCGACCATGTTTCGAAAACCATTTCAAAGAATAAAATGCCCTGTAAGGTCCATTGGTGCCATTTTGTAGAAAGCCATAAAGATCCAAAGTATCAGGCGGAAACAAACGATCTTTCTGTTCCATGTATGCCCTCAATTCTGCCCAGGACTTGAGGGCATTCACAACTGTGGCGCCCTCTGCCTCCATAACCTTCTTCTTGGCCAGGGTATCCAGGGCATCCTGCCATTGTGAATACCTGTCAGGGGTCAGCTCCCCTTGAGGGCGCATCACCTTGGCCTGGGAGAATGCTTTCCGCAAAGCCGCGGCTCTCAGCAGCACTTGTTCTGGTTAATCTGGGCTCATCCTGCTTTTCTTCAATATCGAAGCCTTGGGAGCCGGCCAACTTGCTGGCCTATCCCGAAATCCAGAATTCTCTGCCACTGCCGCCACCTGCGGAATGAGGTTATTTTCAATGATGTTAGAACGCGCCTGCAGCCACGCATCGGCAACATGGTGTCCTCCATGCGCCACTGCGTTGTCGTATGATGCGAAGGCATAGGCGAAGTCCGTGTTGTCATGCAATTCCCATTAAGATCGCCACTGCTCCACCCTCGTTAAGGCCACCCGTTCCATCGCAGTCTCAGCGCCAAGCGGAGCATCACCTGCAGCTTGAACTGCGTAGGCACCTGGGTGCTATGCCATGGCAACCCCCGATACCACCGCTGCCAATGTTTAGAGCATTCGCGCTGGGCCTAAAACTGCAGAATTCACCTCAGTATTACCAGGTACGAAACATGCATCACTAGGCCGCAGCTGCTGCAGATGGGTCTCTATGCAAGCTGGGGTGACAGCCTGGACACTGGGAGGGTGGACAGGTACTGCACACTGAAGAGAAACAGTGCTCACATAGTTCTGGGGTCGGAATGCCACAGGCCCGACATGGAGGCAAGGGTTCCTCCCCAACCTCCATGGTACCGAGCCACCCCCAGAGCGACCGCACTGCCCTGGCCCGTGGTCCCCTCCACACAACCAGGTTAGCTGGGATAGGCACCATGGATGGGTTTCTCCATCCTCGGCGCGGGGACTGCCACTTCCTCCAGACATCCCACAGCTCGGCAAGGTCGACCATACTCTCGGCATTGTGCTCGATGAAGGCCACCAAGCCGAAGATGTTGTCCGGCGCAAAGTCCCTGGCTGTCCAATGGGTCCGCAGCGGCTCAATGAGCAGCAAGTCCAGCTTCGCCTCGCCCAGGCGATCATAGTAGGACTGCCACGCCAGCCGCGGGTCACTCCCGGGCAGAGCCAAGACAGCTGAGCTATTCCACGTGCCAATCCATGGGAACTTGAATCCTCCCAAAAACTCGGTACACCTCCTACAGTTTTCCTCCATGCAGGGTGACCGTCTGAAAGGGGGAAGTCCCTCCATCCCCAAACCAATGGGATGAGGGGGGAAATGGTCGATCTGACACACTGAGGACCATAACCTGGTGGCTTGAGACACCAGGCCCCGCTGGAGCAGGCCTTCCACGTGGGTCTTGAACTCGTAGTAGGCCGCCGCGTGAAGGATCTCAGCGTCGGTGTGGGCAGCCTCATTCCAACCCGGCCGAACGACAACGGTGGCCCTGGGCATCAGGGGGGTATCTCCCACCTCCGTAACCTCTGTACGCTAGGGTAACTCCCTAGTAGAGGAACGAATAACCACTTACCCTAGGGTGACTCCCTAGTAGTGGTGTGGGTACCCCGAACAAAAGAAGAATGATGAAGCCAGTTTGGCTCAGACTTGAGCCAAAATGGATTCATCAACTTACACACTCACCCTAATGATAATGCACACCCAGTGCCTGCCAAACACGATGCATACATATATTAATTTCCAAATATGTTTTATATTACAAAATCGTATATTTTTTTAATATGTTAATTTCCAAAAATATTCCGTTAATAAAATTTTAATTTCCAAATCTATTTCGTGTCATAATGGCGTGCAATTGTTCATCTTTTATGTCCCCAGATGGCTCCACACGCGCCGCTTTAGCGAACCTACTTTTCGACCCTACGGAACATAATATACATATTTTATACATTTTTATACATATGTTCTGCACGAGTATCTTCTTTAGCATTCCAAGTTTCAATTGTACGCTAAAATTATGCACATAATTAATATACAATAATTCTTCTGTATTAATTTTATCTAATCTGATTCTTGTTCTATCAAGTGGTCAAGTAAGTAAGGATGTTTCAATATCACATCCTGGCACCAATTTGTGCAAATTTCTATATTCGCGTCCAATCTCTGTTCAAGTTCCCTTGACACTGTTCCTGCAAACTAGAGTACAAGACAGTAGCTGTTGAGCTGCCAGCATGTTCTGGCAGTATGGCAAAAATATCATACCTTTATATACAAGATTATACAAGCATGTTTTAGTCCATTGTAACCCGAAGTCTGAAGACTCGCCTCGTCCGAATGGGCCATATGATGGCAGCAATAGCCAGCGTGTGACTCCTGTCAAAACAAGTTGCTTTTTGTAAGTTGGAACCAAAGTGTGTATTAAAAGCCAGGAAATGACGGCCTTCAGAGACTCTGTCGAAGGTTCTTGCGATATCAAAGAGTGATTCAAGGCCTGCAAGCCTGGAAAACTGTTGATGCAAGAGTATAGTCTAGCTGGATGTATCATGTAAAATTCCACTAAAATGGATAATTTGGAGGTACCCCCATTTTAGGAAACCTCCACTTGTAGGCTCTTGAAGATTTCTGAAGGTTTGAACTGCTTCACCAAGCGCATCCTAGAAATCTCCCGCCTGGTCACTGCTGCTGCTGTTGCTATCAGCATCTGCCAACTGGAAGATCCGGACAAATGGCTCGTCCTTCCGACGGGATTCTTGGAAAAGAAGGGTTTCTCGTCTTCCAATTTCTCCAAGACTTTCGCCTTCTACAAGTACCACTCTTTTCTTGAAAGAAAATTCTCCTGGAAAATCTATGATTGGATCAGCATATTGATGTTGACCATGTGGGAATATCAACTGGTGTCGCTCTCCTGCTGGATCAGCGTGCTCGTACATGCAAGACACCTTGACAATGGAAGGCCTCACAGCTGCCCGGCGCAGAACATCACCATGATATAGCCGCCCCACAGGCTACTGATGCACGTTATCTCAGTACACTTCAGTGCCTGGAGAATTTAGAGACCTGATTTTCAAAGTACTATATAAAGAATACACCACAGAAACATGGCCATTGAATGCCATTGAATGATCATACTATCCATAGCAGCCATAGCATCCATTCCCATGTCGTGAGCAGTGACTCACTCTGCACCCACAAGCTGCTCTGCACCTGCAGCGGCTAAAAGAGGCCCCACAACCGAGAGGTCTGCCGAAAGTTCTTCTTCGTAAACTTCCCACTTGCGGGTCCATTCTGGATACATGATACCTGCAGCTGGCAAGTTCCACATGCTCTGTGAAAATAACGTGTTCAAACCCTCACGGAGAACACCATTCCACATTGGCCACGAAAGAAAAGCTCCACAAGGCCAAAATAGATGACATCCCGTGATATGCTCACCACTTCTCCAAGCTATTTGCAGACGGATGGAATTGCCAACAGCGAGTTGCGAGAGGTATCGAAGTCATCCTGCAGCAGGAAACGGACAATAGGTGTGTTGAAAATTGGGTACCTGCAAATCCACTGGTTTATGATCCATCTTTTCCCCATTAATATGGCCATTTTGAGGGGTAGCCCAGTAGCCCCCCCATTTTCGCACAAACCCAGCTAAATGATCGTGAAAGCACAGCTTGACATGTCCTGGGCACACTCTGCCACGCATTGAAGCTGCCGAACAGACATCAACTTTGGAAACGCTCGGTGCAACGCCTTGAATCTAGCAGAGTTCGAATGGATCATGTTCCCTCAACTAATGTGATGTGTGGAACATGCAGTTTACACAAGTTACTGAACTATGAAGCAGTTGACAGAAACTATATAATCATCATGCTCACAAGGAGCCTGAGAAAGCAGTCTACGAACGACCTTCAATCTGCACAGACTGTAGTTGTCCATCCCTAGTAGTAGTAGATAGGAGGAGGATGAGGAGGAGGAGGAGCGCATGCACTAGCAGTTGCAGCAGCACTGCCAGTCTTGTAGAGGTCCAAAGAATCTGTTGTCCCACGGTCCCACAGTGAATTTATACGTCTATTTGGATGTGTCCATCAGGGGCGGGTCGGTAACACTTACGCACTGGTCAAGAAACCCTTTGGAAACCACACATGTTAAAGCACGCATCTACGTGATCTTATCACACAAGACCGACAAGACAAGGCACCAACGCAGCTCCAACCTTAGCTCCGGACCAAACTGCTATTAAGAATTGGGCAAAGCTTCCAATGATTGTCACATTCCATCACCATCATGCACAATCCATCAACCACATCAACCTCTTCTTCTGCAGCTGAATCACATAGGTCCGGTGGAGAAAAATGCCTTGCGCCGCTAGTGCCGCTGTATTTGGCTCTTTCTCTTCCAGCGTCAAGGACTTCTCCAGGTCTACGACCTGCAGCAGCGCGGCACGGCGAGTGATCCTGTTATAACATGCTGAGGACACCCGGCCTGGTGGATCAGAATGGCTATTGGACGATCTTCTTCAGGCCCCTGGGAGACATCCATGGGGGTACCCCCAGTCATCATCCAGGAAAATTGCGAAGAAAACTGGGAGCGACATGGATTCGTTCTGGTGCCGCTATGGTGCCCAAACACGAAACCAAAGCTGAGCTGGGACCGCCCTATGCTGAGGGATATTGAAAAATTTGAAAATATTGGAACCATGTACCCCTCGGCCCTCCTCCATCATTAGCTGTCCAGCCAGCAAATCGCCCTGGCCATTGTCACCTCGATTGCACCGAGTAGGCAATGCTATCAAAGTACGTCAAGCCTTCGCAAGGTGCTTGAAAACCGGTTACTTGCAGGAGTGGGTAGGAAGGTTTTGAGCATTACTTCATTACTTGGTACAAAAGCCGCTTCAGCCTCCTGAACTCAGGCAGTGACCACAAAAGATGAAGTCATACTCTCTGTAGAGACTGGCATACCTAAGCCATATAAGTAGCTCTGATGCGCCGCAATCATTGATTTGAAAGTGCCTTATCCAACATTCAGCAACTGAGCTGCCTTACTCCTGAAAAACGGTATGCTTGAAGCGCCCCACGTCCTCGAAACAGTGAAGCGATGCTTCACCGAGAAAACCGACCCGTTTTGACCACCAAATCAGCCGAGACCTCCCAGGCATCGGAGTGGCAGAAGCATCGCTTGACCACAGCACCAAAGCCAATCCTGTGGCGCCGGAATCGCAGGGAAATCCCTGAAGTACATGGAGGATCATTCAGGATTGCTGGGATAATATGGGATAATCATCTAGAAATGGATGATTTTTCAGCCATGTTTGATTCCCGGAGGGTATTTCCAGATCTTCCCTATAACTCTCAAGGCATCACAGTGTCTGTTGGCATTTTCAGCTGCTGGCCTGAGGGAACCAGACAGAAGGCTTGGTATGGTGTGCCTCAGAATGTTAAGCGAGTCAAGTCCGTCGACATGAAGAACTGTGGGTCTGTTATGGTCTGTTAGATCAAAGTAAAATCCCCAAACCGGTTGAACCACCACACCAAAGCATCATGGCTGGCTCCAAATCACAAGAGGTCGTCCCCATCCAACAAATTCCAACAAACATGTGGGTGTTTCTGATGTGTGTGAAAATTGTGTACCCCCAAATGCCATGGTTTATCGATGTTTATCGTCAATGTCCCATGGCTAAACAGTTCCATTTCGACAGTTGAAAAATATCCGACACACAGGAGACGTTGACGCCAAGCCACAGGACTGCTTGTTGAAACAGCTGCTGGACGGTTCTGGAGAGTCGTTGGTTGGTGTAGGAACTCCCATAATTATCGCATGTTGTGACAGGTTTCGGGTACGTACATTCGTGATGGCAATGTGATGGCTATCTAGTAGAATTAAATGTCCTGCCTGATCACAAGTGCTCTGAAAGACTTTAGAAACTGTGGCAGGTTTCATGCCTGTGCTTTCTCAAGATTAAACAAGGTGCCAGTATCACAGAGATCAGCTGAATTGTCGGCCATGTCTTGGAGAATTCTTAACGGGCTGAAAACATAATGGATGTGGATTCATGACGCTAGTGTCTAGATGTATCTAGTATTTTCTGACTCAATGTGGGAAAACCAAGAATGAAACGCCCCAAAGCTTGCCATGAAGGGTCTTTAAAATCGCAATTGGTAGGTTTATTATTGGCTTTGACACAGGCTCCTGAACGTTTTCTGCTCAGAGATATCCTTGTAGATGTGCGGCCTGCGGGTTGCTGCTCAGGCTCGTGGCCATCCGCTATCTATTTTCCAGCAGGCAATTTCTTCGTCCTACAGTCCTACAGCAAGCATGGCCTCGCAGATAAGAAGACCACATTGGAGCATGGCCTCAGCTTGTGAAGGAAACGCTCCATGCTCACTTTGCACAGCTTATGAATTCATTTACTCTGATTCACATCTTCAAACATGTTCAATTTTCAAAGGATGCCTGTGATGACTTCACTGCTGAGCGTTTGATGTTTGATGTTGAACTTCCCGAGCTCCTGGCTCGGAAGCCGTAAAGCTACAACCAGCTCCCGCAGAAAGGTCGCGAAGCCGGGGTACAGCATCTTCTTCGGCCTGAAAAACGCCCCACTCAACGCGCTCGGTGTGACAAAGGTACAGATGTTTTCTCAGCTTTCCTGAGGCCTCTACAAGCGTTTATCACAACCTTAATTCACAGGGCATGATTCTTTTCTAGCAAATCGAACACTACTTAGATCTACTTAGTACTTCCATGGCACAGAGGTTCTATACTCTATACACATTTGTCTACCAGTTGCGGTTTCTGTCACATTCAAGCTTGTTTGCAGGATACTAAACTGTGGCCAAAAAAAATGATAGAAAATGCATACAAACGGAAAATGAAAAGCATCAAGCACGCGAGGAGCCAAAGAGAAAAACTTGGCAAAAGCAAAAGAAAAGAATCTTGAGGGATGTAGGGAGCAGGGAGCCTAGTCTGGAAATTAGCCATTGGAGGAGAAGAATATCACACACATGAAACAATCGTTCACCCCAAAAAAAAACATCAGGAACCTCCTTGTTGACTTCGTAACTTAGGAAAACTGCGAAAACATGTTCATAAACTTGCACGTGTGGCACATGGGAACCTCGACAGCTACCCTAGCTTTTGGGAGAACAGTGAGCCTTGAGCAGTCTACTGCAAAGATCTACCTGAGAGCCTTACATAGCCTTACTGTGTCTGAAGACCTCAAGCTTTCTACTGCGCTGAGTATTGAAAATCGCAAATAGAATAGCATCTCTATATATCTCTATGTATCTGTACCAGTCTTTACCCTGGTTCTGATGAGCTGACTCTCAGCTAGAAGAAAGCTGCACAGCACAGGAGAGGTTCAAGCCATCCAGCTATGTGCTGCCATGTGCTGCCAGAATGCCAGCTGGAAAGCTTCCTCCACTGCACAGTACTGTGTCATCAATGTCACCTTGGAACGAATGTGCTCAGGGCAAGAAGACCATTAGAGGAACACTGCAACACCGTCCCTGAGTTTGGCATTCTCGCATACGGATTTCATGCACACGTCAGACATAGTTACTCTGCACAGCTGCTAACAGGTATGACTTTCGCGACCCTATCATCCCTATCAACAGTATCTATGAAGACCTGCTAAGTCTTTGCTAGAGGTGTTCATGGTTCACCTCCAAATCAAGCTCAACTGGACCAATCTAAGCAGCTCAGAATCTTCACCCCCACTGCTTGACCAGCATTTCCTCAGTGGCGGCTGTGGCATGTGCCGCATGTGCCGCATGTGCTGTGGGGCAAATCTCTCTGCCAAGGTACGCAGCTCCAAGGCCTTCTTCTGGAGATACGAAATCAACTCGCTGCGGACTGGTTCCCGCAGATCGGAATAGATCCTTGGCCATGCTCAGCGCTTAGCAAGAGCCAAGGAGTGAGCACCGTGAAACCAGGTCCTGTGCTGCTCCATCATGACTGTGTGCAGCGAAAGGGTGCGACTTCAAAAGTCATGGATCCATTTTAGTGCACTGCCGCTGTGGTGACTGAGACTCCTTGTCGTTGCATTCTGCATATGTCTGAATTCTGGTACGTTTTTTAACCATACCTTTGTATCCATCCAGACTCCAAACCATACAATCACAGCGAAGCTTTCTGGGTCAGGGCACAGCTTGTGCAAATTGAAGTAGTCGCCAGTGCCTCGGGTTGGGGATGAATCCCCTCTATCCACCAAGAACAGCAATCATTTCTAAACCAACCCTCCCCTTTGCTTGGTTCATCCCCTATGTTTCACCATTTCTCTCTCAAAAAGTTCATCAGGGTTTGTCCAAAAATCGTGTGCCCCAAAAAAAATCAAACATATATATATATATATAATTATATATATATATAATTATATATATATAATATTATTATACAATCATCAAAGGAAGTTGGGAAGCAATACTTCCGTGTTACGGACAAATAGAATTCTGAGATTTGAAATGATGAAGGGTGGTGCGCGATTGAGAGATTGACCTTGATGAAGGGTGGTGTGAGACTTTACATGACATAACAATACATCAGAAAAGAATTGACCTTGATGAAGGGTGGTGTGAGACATTACATTACATAACAATACATAACAAAAAGATTGACCTTGATGAAGGGTGGTGTGAGACTTTGCATTACATAACAATGCATCACAAAAGGATTGGCCTTGATGAAGGGTGGTGTGCGACTGTACATTCAAGTGGCAGATCGCATTGGAATGGCTGCATGAATGTTGCACGGGCTTTGTGTTGGGGAGGAAGCCGGAGCACGAAACCTTGTGTTTTTCCGAGTAAAGTGGCTGCAGCCGGCGATGAAAGGTACCTCGTCTGTGCGGCGGTTGCGGCTGCGGTCGTTTCTGTCGCGAATTGTTCCTCCTATGTGTTTTGCAACGAGTGGTTGTTCCTGTGTGCGTAGTTCTATGCGTTTCTTGAAGCTGTGGTAGCAGATCGCATTGGAATGGCTGCATGATGTTGCATGGGCTTTGTGTTGGGGAGGAAGCCGGAGCACGAAACCTTGTGTTTTTCCGTGTAAAGTGGCTGCAGCCGGCGATGAAAGGTACCTCGTCTGTGCGGCGGTTGCGGCTGCGGTCGTTTCTGTCGCGAATTGTTCCTCCTATGTGTTTTGCAACGAGTGGTTGTTCCTGTGTGCGTAGTTCTATGCGTGCGCTTCAGATCGCATTGGAATGGCTGCATGATGTTGCATGGGCTTTGTGTTGGGGAGGAAGCCGGAGCACGAAACCTGGGTGTACCGTTGTGCGTGTACTGCGCCGGCGAATTGTTCCTCCTATGTGTTTTGCAACGAGTGGTTGTTCCTGTGTGCGTAGTTCTATGCGGTTCTTGAATCTCTGGTTGCAGATTGCATTGGAATCGCTGCTTCATTGTCGTCATTTGATGTTGCCACGTGCGTAGATAGGTGCGGGTTTGCCACGGGATGTTGCGAAACGCATTGTAATGGCTGCATGAATGTTGCATGGGCTATGTTTTGGGGAGGAAGCCGGAGCACCAAACCTTGTGTTTTTCCGTGTAAAGTGGCAGCAGCCGACGATGAAAGGTACCTCGTCTGTGCGACGGGTGCGGCTGCGGTCGTTTTGTGCGCGAATTGTTCCTCCTATGTGTTTTGCAACGAGTGGTTGTTCCTGTGTGCGTAGTTCTATACGTTTCTTGAAGCTGTGGTAGCAGATCGCATTGGAATGGCTGCTTCATTGTCGTCATTTGATGTTGCCACGTCCGTAGATAGGTGCAGGTTTGCTACGGGATGCTGCGACACGCATTGTAGTGGCTGGGTCAAGGTTGCTCGGTGCTGCGGCTGCATGCGCAATACGATTGTCTTTTGCAGCTGAAGATCGTAAATCGTATTGGAATGGCTGCATCAAGGCTGCGAAAGTGAATTGTCAGCAGATTTTCTCCATTTTGGCACTAATAATTTTCCTTTTAAAATTCCTTGTAAAAAATGCTTCAAAATCGTCTTTTTGTCGCTTTGGCGTCGAGATCCGGTTTTGGAGCTGCAATTTCCGACGCCATTGCACGTAGTTCTATTGTGTTTTGCAACTCAGTCTCTGCAGATCGCATTGTAGTGGCTGCGTCAAGGTTGCTTGGCGCAGCGGCTGCATGCGTAATACTATTGTCTTTTGCAGCTGAAGATCGTAAATCGTATTGGAACGGCTGCATCAAGGCTGCGAAAGTGATTTGTCAGCAGATTTTCTCAATTTTGGCGCTGATAATTTTCCTTTTAAAATTCCTTTTCAAAAGTGCTTCAAAATCGTCTTTTTGTCGCTTTGGCGTCGAGATCCGGTTTTGGAGCTGCAATTTCCGACGCCATTGCACGTAGTTCTATTGTGTTTTGCAACTCAGTCTCTGCAGATCGCATTGTAGTGGCTGCGTCAAGGTTGCTTGGTGCAGCGGCTGCATGCGTAATACTATTGTCTTTTGCAGCTGAAGATCGTAAATCGTATTGGAATGGCTGCATCAAGGCTGCGAAAGTGATTTGTCAGCAGATTTTCTCAATTTTGGCGCTAATAATTTTCCTTTTAAATTCCTTTTAAAAAGTGCTTCAAAATCGTCTTTTTGTCGCTTTGGCGTCGAGATCCGGTTTTGGAGCTGCAATTTCCGACGCCATTGCACGTAGTTCTATTGTGTTTTGCAACTCAGTCTCTGCAGATCGCATGGTAGTGGCTGCGTCAAGGTTGCTTGGTGCAGCGGCTGCATGCGTAATATTATTGTCTTTTGCAGCTGAAGATCGTAAATCGTATTGGAGTGGCTGCACCCAGGCTGCGATAGCGATTCGTCAGCAGATTTTCTCGTACCAGGCGCTAATAATTTTCCTTTTGAAATTCCTTTTAAAAAGTGCGTCAAAATCGTCTTTTTGTCGCTTTGGCGTCGAGATCCGGTTTTGGAGCTGCAATTTCCGACGCCATTGCACGTAGTTCTATTGTGTTTTGCAACTCAGTCTCTGCAGATCGCATGGTAGTGGCTGCGTCAAGGTTGCTTGGTGCAGCGGCTGCATGCGTAATACTATTGTCTTTTGCAGCTGAAGATCGTAAATCGTATTGGAGTGGCTGCGCCCAGGCTGCGATAGCGATTCGTCAGCAGATTTTCTCGTACCAGGCGCTAATAATTTTCCTTTTGAAATTCCTTTTAAAAAGTGCTTCAAAATCGTCTTTTTGTCGCTTTGGCGTCGAGATCCGGTTTTGGAGCTGCAATTTCCGACGCGTTTGTGCAAGCTTTGTATACTACAAAGTAGTACTGGGACGTGCTTTGTTAGTGCAAGCTTTGTAGTACAAAGTAGTACTGGGAACTAGTTTCTGCAAGCTTTGTAGTACAAAGTAGTACTGGGAAACGCTTTGTGCAAGCTCGGTAGTACAAAGTAGTACTTGGAAGTGTTTTGTGCAAGCTTGTAGTACAAAGTAGTACTGGGACATGTTTTGTGCAAGCTGTGTAGTACAAAGCAGTACTGGGAAGTGGTTTTTGGAAGTTTTTGTAGTAGATACAATACTGGGAAGTACGTGACATGAAAATAGAGAAGAAGAATTTAGCTGACATATGGGAAACAGCGAATGCGTGTGTGAATTTATTTTAGATGTTTTTGGCTTTGCATGGATGCTGGCTAGCATGTGCTACGTGGATTGCTTCTAGATATTTTTGGTAAAACATGCTTTTCAGAATATGTCCTGCACAAGGGGTAGCATGGAAGTTGTGAAAAAAGGTATGCTGACAAGACACGATGTGAAGCTGTGGCATCTGGCTCAAGTTGTTCTGCTATTTTTCATGTCAATGAACTAAGCAGACATGTGATGATACTCATGCATCAACAGCACAGAAATGAAGCAAGGGCATGACTTTCAAAGACTGTCACAGGCAAATGCTGATGTATGTATCATGCGTTAGCTCATTTCTTGATTGGACTTCTCCAAAGGAATATCGTTCGCGCGTGAGCAAGTTCCGCGGCAGTGCGGCCCGGACTTGCGAGCGCGCGGCGCGCAATTTCTGGGCACGGCAGTGCGGCCTGCTCACGGACACGTCCGGCAGCCATGGTGGAACCGGATGCTTTTGCGGAGCTGCTGTCATATGTCGAGAAGGAAACAGAGACATTGAAGCTTCTGCGATGCAAGACTTTGAAAGAATGTTTATTGACTGGAAAAGGAAGTCGCAAACTTGACGGAAATATTGAACGATGGAGGCATTACAAGATGTATCTTGCTCTCGAGAAGAAGATGTCGCCAGAGCAAAGACGCGTGCTGGCAGAATGGGAAAGAACTAATTGCATGCCCGGACTGCGACCCGCTTTTGAAAAGTTTTGCAGCATAGCAGAACAGCATGTAGATGCGATGAGAGCTGTGCGAAAACCTACATTGCAGGAGGTTTGCTTAAGTGTTGCTGCTAGAGAGAATCGTGTTTGGGGACAAGTTTGTCGTGGTTTTGCATTAAGGCATCGACATGAGACTTTCAATGAGCAAGAAAAGGAAAAGTGGCAGGAGCTGGAGGAACGCATATGTGTGGATGATAGTCCCGTGCAGCAACAGTTTGATCGTTTCATGAAAATGCTTGAAGATAACAGAGATGAGTTGAAAGCTATGCAAAAGTCGACATTACTTGAACTCATGTGTGTGGCTGAGCGCACAGGTAACAAAGAATACATATTTGGCCGAAATTTTTGGCGACGGAGGTATGAAAACCTTGATGAAGATATGAAGGCCAAGTTGCAGGAATGGGAAGCATTATTGTGTGTTCCATCGGTTGGTTCGGTAGACAAGTTCCTGCAGATCCTGGAGCGAAGAAAAGTAGAATTGCAATCCTTTGGCGCAGGAAGTGTTGCGTCTTTGTTTGCAGTGCACGCCATGAAAGGAGATGCCGAACTTCGTTGTTGTTATGACTTCATGCAACGCAAGTTTCCGAGCCTGACAGAGGACAAGAAAGAGATGGTGAGAAATGCCCTAGGAGAGCTCTTGCCAGCAGCAGCCACTGTGCCGCTGAAGAAATCGCATGAACCCAAGTTGCACAGCCGGGAGACAGTCTTGGGAGATAACCTGCCACGACCCAGGTTGCCGAAGAGTTTGCGACAACTGTACGGAAATTCAGCAGATGCCGAAAGCCGCACCATGGCTTTTTTCCATCGTGTCAATGAAGTCGATACTTTTTTGAACGAGCTTGAATTTCAAGACTGCTCGTATT